CACAGTGAGAGCCATTATCTACAAATAAAGAAAACATGGAAGAGTGGATTAACTTTCCCAGGAGCGGTCAGCCTAACAAAATCCCTTTGAGAGCACTGACAACTGAACCAGGAGGACACAGAAGAACTTAGAACAATATCTAATGACATGTCGGCTTCACTTACCTCAGAAAAAAAGAAAGAAAAAGAACATAAAGTTATGTCTCACATTTCGCTAAAATTTAGTCTACTTTACTGTGGTTCACGTCTTCAATTAAACTAGTGATTCTAGTTTAATTGTTTATTCCTGGTGTATACTTATTCTTTGTTATGCTTAGACAAGTTTCCATATTTTCTCTCCCTTGCTCCTTGTTGCCACGCTCTCTTCCTGTCTTTCTGTCTCTCCCTCTCTCTCACTCCTCAGCCTGCCTTCTGCTCTCTCCCTTCACACCTGCAACCCGTTTCTATCGGCCATCTTGTTCTTTGTTCAGTAATCAAGCTCCCAGTATACTTACAACTCATTCTCAGTCAGTCCTTGCTGGTTCCTCCCATTATTTTTCTGTTGTGCTCTGGCTCCCTGTGTTCCTCTGATTTTTTGTTCTTCATTTTTTCATTAAGTGTTCATAAACAACTCTCTGCCTCTGCTGCTCTTGCAATTAGGTCCTACTCCGCCACAGCACCATAACAAAGACACTGCATTGGAGAACTCCTGGAGTCAGAAAAGATGAAACTGTCTAATTCACCTATGAATCGGTTTTAAGTAGAAATACATGTTTGATGCCGTTTGAGGTTATTTAGAAGCGGGATAACCATGGAAACTTAATTTGCGAAATACTTGGATTATTTTAATATGGTTTAATATGGTCTAGATGTTTTTCCCCTCTTTTATGCTACATGATCAGAATGATCATGTAGCATATTAAACTGTTTGACAGTAAGCAGATAGTGAAATAATATGAAATGCATTGATTTATACCATTACAGCTGCATTGTTTTAAAATAATCATTACTGTAATTCGGCTTCAGGGTTACACAAATATGTGTCCATTTATTGTTACTTCTTCACTTTTGGGACATAGCTATAAAGAACAATTTTTATCAAAATCAATGTTGCCTTATTTCAGACCCCAAAAGCAGATGTTTACAATCAGTCAATGAGCAGAAAAGTTCTATGATTAGATAGTCATTTGAAACACACATCCTTTTTTTTTTTTTTTTTTTTTTT